TCTTGGGGCAAGCAATAGTTCTAGTCCAAAAGCAACCAATTAAAAAATGCTATTTTGATCTACTGATCCTATTATATAAAGATAATCTTAAAATAAGATTTCTAACTTTGTCTTTGGGCTAAGTAATTCTTTGTTGTGGGGACTGCTCTGGGCAATATAGGCTGTCTGCCAGGATCTTTGGCCAACCACAAATGTCTCAAATGTCTAGACTCTTCCTAATTCTAAATTTAGTTGTATAAGCAGAGCATAGTGTGCCATCCTACTCTGGCATGTGTCTTAAAATATAGGTGAATTTCTTCAGGCATTTCAGATACCTAATATTTCAGGCTAATCTGTTAGATTAGATTTTTTTCCTATTATCTGGCTACCTGGCACGTAATTTTCACCAAGTAAATAAGATTTTAATAGCTGTGCCATCTTGGACAAGTTACTTGTCTCACTGGGTCTTAGCGACTTCATCTTAAAATAGGTATGGTAATAGCTCCTATTTCATAGGCTGGTTATAAAGATAAGAGAGTTTATTGATTTATATGAAGCAATGTATTTTAGTGGTTTAGAATTATGCTTCAGTGTGGGTAAAACTACTTTTATTAATAGAAGTTGGTAGCATATGTGTGTGTGGTCACATGATGTACATGGGTACCAAGGATCTGGTCCTTAGGCTTGTACAGCAAGAACTCTACCCACTGAGCTGTCGCCCTAGCCTTAATGAAAGATTTTGGGGGGGGATTCATTTTTTGAGTGTTTTGCCTGGATGTATGTAAGTGCACCTGTGTCATGTGATGCCTGCAGAGGCTAGAAGAGGGTGTCAGATCCCCCAGGGACTGGAGTTACAAGTGATTATGAACCACCATGTGGGTGCTAAGAACCAAATCTGGGTCCTCTGCAGTAGTAGCCAGTGCTCTTAACTACTGAGCCATCTCTCCAATCCCTATGAAAGTTCTTTGTTTTTTGGTCTTTTTGAGACAGGGTCTCCCTGTAGCACCAGTTTGCCTGGGATTAAAGGCGTGTACCACCACGCCCTGCCCTCGATGAAAGTTTTTTGTTTTTTATTTTTGAAACAGGGTCTCCTTGTAGCCCCAGCTGGCCTGGAACTCACTAAGTAGACCAGGCTGGCCTCAAACTCACAGAGATCGGCCTGCCTCTGCCTCCCATGTGCTGGGATTAAAGGTGTGTGCCACCATGCCTGGCTTGATGAAAAATTTTAAACTATGAAATTATATTATCTATATTACTGAAAGTTCTTACACTTGAAAAATAGTCATACTCAGGGGTCGGGGAGATAGTTCAATCAGTAAAATGCTTGCCACACAATTATGAAGATCTGAGTTCAATCCCAAGAACCCTTGTTAAAAGCCAGGCATAGTGGTGTATGCTTATAGTACCAACCCTGGGGAGGCAGAGACAGGTGGGTCCTGGGGCTCAGTGATCAGCTAGCCTAACATATTCAGTGAGTTCCAAGCCAAATGAGAGATCCCCTCCCAAACAAGGTGGATGGCACCTGATGATATCTGAGGTTGACCTCTGGTCTCCACACATGGGTGTGTACACATATGTATGTGACTCCCCATACATGACCACACACAGTGAAAGTTACATGCTTGGTTGTTCCAGCTATATATTTTACAGATGTGTAAGTGCCATAACCCAGAATGTAACTTCCTACTATCAACCTCATGTCATACACATTCATAATCACTATTCTAATAACCTCATGCATAAGTTATATTAAGTGTTTAATTCCTTTGTAATAATTGTTCAAAGAGCCAATTTATGTCTGGTTTGTTTTTTGTTTTTTGTTTTGTTTTGGTTTTTTGGTCTTTTTGAGACAGGGTGTCCCTGTGGCCCTGGCTGGCCTGGAACTCACTGTGTAGACCAGGCTAGCCTTGAACTCACAGAGATCCACCTGCCTCTGCCTCTGGAGTGCTAGGATTAAAGGCATGTACCACCACGCCCAGCAATGTCTGTTTTTTAAAAAATTATACTTATTATTGTGTATGTGTGTATGGATGTGTACTGCTATGACATGCATGCTGAAGTCCGAGGGCAACTTGTGGGAGTCCTTCTTTCTTTCAACCATGTGGGTCCCAGGAATTGAGCTCAGGTTGTCAGACTTAGCAGCAAGTACCTTTACTCACTGAGCCATTTTTGGCCTTTGAAACAGTGTATGCTGCTAAGAGGCCCAAGGACATTTTGACTTTTAGCCAAGAAACAGGCTACTTTTCTTTGGGGTCTTTTTACCCTAACTGCCTAGCCAATTCCTACCTCCTATTCTTATCACACCATCCTCCAAATTGCCAATAGGGCCAATAGACCACTCAGCTTTTTCCATCTTGAACAAGAAGCAGGGTGAGGCAATTGGAGTACCCCTTCAGTGGGTGTATCTAAAAGACTCCCAAATTGCACAACTCTTATCTGTAGGGGGAAAAGAAAGCCCTTGGATCTTGAATAGGAGATGTGAAGGAGAAGTAAGGGCAAGAGTAATTAGCATTACAAGTTCTAGACAGGGAACTAGACAAAAGCCAGAACAGGGCAGTTTGATAAAATTATTTTTAAGAAGTCCATGTGCTTCTGAGAAATGAGCAAAGAGAATAATATAGGTAGTAATTGCAAGGTTTTTGTTTGTTTTGTTTTGGTGTTTTTGAGACAGGGTCTCCCTGTAGCCCCAGCTGACCATGTAGACCAGGCTGGCCTTGAACTCACAGAGATCCACTCGCCTCTGCCTCCAAGTGCTGGGATCAAAGGCGTGCTATTGCAAGTGTTTTTTATTTTAAATTTTTTTCTTAATTCAGAGATTTAATTTGGTCTTCCTAAAAGTAGATTCAGGTATGAGACAGTTGAGCTCATGTATCCTCCGACAGGTAGCAATACTTTGAAATGTCAACCAAATGTTCTCTAGCCAAAGAAATCATTTTGTGCCAGAACCCTCCATTTCTAGCTTTGGGGCAGTGACAGGACACTGGTAAAGAGTGTAGGATAATGTCGCTATGCTGGAGATTGTCAGTCATTCTCTTGTCACTGTGGGCAGGGAAGTTACCCCATTAGCTTTCCTCTGCTAATGGAAGGAAGGAGTGGTCACTTCACTTCTTAGAACAGGAAAGTAGGAAAGGCAGTTGGTAAAACTAGGTGACTGATTACTGAGAAGGGTAGGACATAAAAGGATGCAGAAATCTCAAGTTACTTGTAAGTGACTAGCATTTGTAACTGAAAGTATGGTAGTGCCACGGCTAGAAACAGGAAAGATGGGGATGGTCAGAAGTTGGGGGGATTTATTGTGAGTGGAGTGATGTGGTTTCATTGGATTGGCTTTTAATTAATGAGTTTTTGTTCATTTAATTTATAGTAGGAGTTATATTTTAATTAAACTAAAAACACCCTGCAGCATTCCGTAAGCATTCTCAAAATATAATTTATAATGCCCTGAAATTTACCTATACTTGTATTGTTTATATACCATAAGATTCTGAAAATTGTACAATTCAGTAAATTTCATGTATTTGCAATTATCAAGCCATTGCCATAACCCTGACTACCATCATTTTTCAGCATATTTATCACCCTGAAAAGAAAAAGAAGCCCACAGCCACCTCCAGCCCTAGGCACACTCCATGTCCTTTTCTAGGCATTTCATAAAGATAGAATGTTACAGTATATGTGTGTGCATGCGTGCGTGCGTGCGTGCGTGCGTGCGTGTGTGTGTGTGTGTGTGTGTGTGTGTGTTTGGCTTCTTTATCTAAATGCTTTCAGAGCTACATGTGTTCCTTGTACTTTTTAGCATGAGTTCTATAGCTAACCAGTTAGTGTAGAGAAAAATTATGTTAAAAGTTGTGAAAATGTCATAAAAGTGATTAATAATGTTAACCATATAGAGGTTGAATTTGCTACCTATTTGCTGGTGGAGTATCAAAATGTAAAAATTAGGGAAGTTTTTAAGGTGAGGAAGCTGGGATAGAGATTTGTGACAAAACATAAGAGAATGAACCACATTGGTTTCTTTTTGACTAAAATGGTCATTTACTCTGTATAATCTTGATTATCTTTGTCAAAGCTAAATGTTAGTACCAGACATAAGGTAGAAAGAGGGGATAGAAAAGTTTGCATTGTTCGTGAAAGTAGTTGGTCTACTCTGGTATTGTAGACATATATTTATTTAAATATTTACACTAGGCCAGCATTTAATACTATTGGCTTAATTTGATTAAAGTAAAATAAGACATGGTCAACTCCTTCTTGAGACATCTGTGTAGCTATATCAAAGCAATATTGCATTTCCTCTGTAAATTCCACTAAAATGCCTAAATTCCCAAACCACCCTCATTATAGACATTCACATTTTTCACAAGAAATCACACTTGAAATAATTTTTAATTGCTAATATAACCTGAGGTAATCCTAGGAAAAACTACAGTGTAGAAATTTAAGTACACTTTACCCTTTCCACTCACCTTTCCCCTTCTGTATACCTTCTCTAAGAGCTTGTAAAACACCATCCCTTTCTTTTCTAATACTAATTTAGTAGGTGGCTCATGTTAAGTCACTAAGGATTTGAAATGCTGGTCTTCTCAGACATGTCGGTGTTTATGAAGTACTGTGTCTGGTAGATTGCGGTACGTGTTAGGTGGGAAGGAAAATGGCAGGTGGAGTCCCTCCTGCTTCCAGTAGATTAATAGCATGGCTACATTAGGAAGTTAGTAAAGTACTGGTGAAAACAGAATAAACTATTGTGAAGACAAGTTTCTTCATAGCTCTAATTATCTGAGAAAAGTAAGAGACATTTTGAGAAGTCTTCATTTGGATTCATTTAGTGCTTGAGATTTGGGGTTATATTTAGTGTAGTATCATTTTCTTGTACAGTAAGTAGATGTGACTTTAAACATACCCCATTATTTTATCAATCCTCCCAATTTAAATCTATGCAAAAGATCCCTACTTTATAAAAATCCTGTGCTTGATAATGAATGTTACCCTTTTGTTGTTGTTGTATTTTTGTTTTTTTCTAGGCTATACTCATCACCAAAGAAAAAACTTACACCAATGCAGAAATCTGTTAGTCCGTTAGTTTGGTGCAGGCAAGTTCTGGATTACCCAAGTCCTGACGTCGAATGTGCTAAAAAGTCTCTTATCCACAAACTTGACCAGACTATGTCAGGTATGTCTCTAATTTTACTTGTGAATTCATTAATTTTATTTAGTCAGAAACATTGGTGCATATTTAGAAAGGCAATTCTTGCTGGATGGCCTTTTCTGAATCTCATCATATATACCATCATGAGGGCTAGATTCGTGTGATAGCATTTTTTTTTTTTTTAATTCGTTTAGCTGGGCTTGGTGGCACACGCCTTTAATCCCAGCACTCGGGAGGCAGAGACAGGTGGATCTTTGAGTTTGAGGCCAGCCTAGTCTATATAATGAGTTCCAGGACAGCTGGGGCTACAAGGAGACCTTGTCTCAAAAAAAGACAAAAAAAAAAAAAAAATTCATTTAGTTCTACTTTAGGGGGTCATATATATCAAACTGTGAATTTTATCTAGTCTAACTTAAAAGTCATTTTAAAAAATGTTTGTCTCTGTCACCTAAAATCATCTCACACACATTTTGAGAAATTAATTGGCTTGAAACAGATGAAGAATCCAAAAGACCTCCTCTCACTCAAGCACTTAACTACTCGCTGACTCTTCACATTTCTTAGCTCCTGTGAGCTCAGTTTCCTCATCAGAGTGATGAAATGATAACTGGATGTGAAAGAACCTAGCGTGTTTCCTGGCTTGCAGTAGAGTGCTCAGTAAATAGACTCAATTTCATTTCCCTTCTTTGTTAGATCTCGATCTCTCTCTCTCTCTCTCTCTCTCTCTCTCTCTCTCTCTCTCTCTCTCTCTCTCTCTCTCTGTACTTGTTTTAAATTGTGTTTATGCTCTTGTTTAATAGCATTCACATGCTTATAAATGTGTCCAGGGCTATTTTCACATTTAATGGAGCTTGCCAGTTTGGCTAGAAATATAGGAAAAGTGTTGACTTTTTCTTTGCAGTTCTCTCTTTAAGAATCACTGTTTATGAAATACTTGTGTAATAAAATGATTAGTGGTACTGAATAGGTTTTTTTTTTTTTTTCCACTTGTCTGTGTATGTATGTGTGGTGCTCATGTGGTGTGTACACATGTGAAAGCCAGAAGTAGATGTTGGGTGCCTTACTTGATTTCTCTCCTCCTTAGTTTTTTGAGATACAGTTTCTCTCTGAACCTGGAACTCACTGATTTGGCCAGGCTGGCTGGCCATTGAGCACCAAGGATCTACCTGTCCCCTCTATCCCCTCTAGCACTCAGGTTGCAGATGGCTGCTGTGCTCAAGTTCTTTATGTGGGTGCTGGGGGTCTGCCCTCAAGTCCTCATGTTTGTTGGCAGGCACTTTACCAAATGAGCCATCCCCCCAGCTTCTTTCTGTTTTTAGGGTTTGTATTTCCTTTGCAGCCAGGTACTTAAAATTGCTTGTCTTGTCTTTATTGTAGAAATGTATCCTCCTTGGTTAGAGTTTAAGCTGAAAGTAGTCCAGGAAGCAGAGAGGAGAGTAGGTAAATAGGCTGGCATGCTGTAAGGAGTAATGTTTATTATGTGCAAATAACTTATAGGAAGTAATTACAGAGCCACTGAATCTGTTTTGACAGTAGCCCTTTTGTTTTTCTTTTCTTTCTTTCCTTTTTTTTTTTTTTTTTTTTTTTTTCTTTTTTTTTTTTTTTTTTTTTTGGTCTTTTTGAGACAGGGTCTCCCTGTAGCCCCAGCTGGCCTTGAACTCACAGAAATCTGTCTGCCTCTGCCTTCTGAGTGCTGGGATTAAAGGCGTGCACCACCACGAGAGGTAAGAAGCCCTTTTGAAAAAGCAAATAGCTTTTATGTAAGTTTCAAGGTGTTTTTTGTCTCAATATGAATTCTTTTTAGAATTATACTCTGGAATTTGATTTTTAATATAGTCAGTCCATGATTGATTGAAACAGACTGTTAGAAATCTGTAGACAGTGTGAAATTAAAATTTCCAGGTAATTTCAGTCAGATGATATTATTAGGCATTTATTGAGAATATTCCTGAGATGCTGGGGAGATGACTTGGTAGGTAAGAGTGCTTATTGTGGTAAACCTGAGGATTGGAGTCCATATCCACCTCTAACCCAACGTGGTGAGGGGTAGAGACAGGAGGATTGCTAAGACTTGCTGGCTGCCAACATAGCTAGGTTCAGAGACAGACTCTGTCTCAAGAGAATAAGGCAGAGGGTGATAAAGCAGAGTACACTTCGCCTTCATTTGGCCTTTAAACATGCACTGGCACATGCCCGTGAAGGCCAGAGGGTGTCAGATCCCCTGGAACTGAATTACTCAAGGGTAATTCAGTAGGGTCTTCCTACCTCAGTTAATGAACATAATCTAGATAATCCCCCAGTAAACCAGTCCAGAGACGTCTCTTCTTTGGTCAGTATACATCTGTCAGGTTGACAGTATTAACCATCACAGGATTGGTGATGACAGTTGGACTGTGTATGCTGGGAAGTATAGGAAAAAAAGCCATTTTCCTCTTCCCTCATCACACAATCATCAACACAGAAGACTTCTATGGTGTCAAAAAATGTGGGGATATCTCCACACCAGCCATCAAGTAATTAGTTCTGTAGCAGACATCATCTGGGTATCCTTAAATTCAGTTCATTCAATTCAGGCACTGTCAACCTGGAAGTAATGTCAGATCTTACAGATTTAGGGTTCATTCTTAGAAGGCTGTCCCCCAACTTAATATGCCAATCAAGTTCTAGGTCATGACCCCTGCTTCTGATTGACCACCTATAATTAGGGTTTTCATAACCCTTCATCAGGTTTGAATACTTTGCTAGAGCAGCTCACAGAACTCAGGGAAGCAAGTTTATCAGTTTATGTATAAGATCTTACAAATAATAACAGGTGTAGAGATGCTTACCAGAAACAGAGAAAGATCTCCATGCCCTCTCTAGGCATACCACATGTTTAGCTATCTGGAAACTCTTTGAATCTATACCCTGTTGTGTATTTGTGTGTGTATGTGTGTGTGTGTGTGTGTGTGCATGCATGTATTTATGTATGTGAATATATGTGTGTACAGGTATGCATGGAGGCCAGAAATTAGCATCGGGCATCTTCCTCAATCTCTCTCCTCATATATTGAGACAGGTCTTTCACTCGAACCCAGAACTTATTGATACAGGAGCCTAGTCTAGTCAGCTTGCTTGGCAGTGAGGGTGGGGGATTGTCTCTAGCTCTCAAACCCTGGGATTATAGACAGGCCCACACACCCTTCAGGTCAACATGCTCTCCTGACATTTACGTAAGTGCTAGGGATCCAAATTCTAGTCTTCATATTTGCAAAACAGGTGCTTTACCTACTGAGCTATCTCCCCAGTCCCTCACTTTGAGTCTTTATGGCAACTTAATTCCATAGACATGACTGAAATGATTGAAGCATGGACAACTGTGTCAAAATGTTGGACAGAAAAGGTATGATAAATTAGGTAGGGAAATCAACAAGGCCTCTGTCCTCAGATTCTTCAGCTTCCTTTCTTTTTTTTCCCCCCTTTGGTCTTTTTGAGACAGGGTCTCCCTGTAGCCCCAGCTGTCCTGGAACTCACTATGTAGACCAGGCTGGCCTTGAACTCACAGAGATCCACCTGCCTCTGCCTCCCAAGTGCACCACCTCTCCCGGCTCATCAGCTTCCTTTCTTGTATGAAACAAGACCCCCTTCTGAAATAAGACTTTTTTTTTTTTTTAATTTTATTTATTTTTATTTTATGTGTATGCGTGTATTGCCTACATGTACGTAAGTGCACCAGTGTTGTGCAATGCCCGTGGAGGACAGAAGAGGCTGTCGGATCCCCTGGAACTGGAGTGACAGTGTCATGTGGGTTCTGGGATTCAAACCTGGGTCTTCTGTGTTCTTAACTGCTGAGTCATCTCCAGTACCCAAAGGCAGATTTTTTTTTTTTACACTTATCATCCCTTAGCATTCTTCATACCATCAATGTGCTGCTTAATATACTTTGTGTATTTTCAATACACAACTTTTTTTAACTTTTATTTATTTTTATGTGTATGAGTGTTATGCCTGCATGTAGGTAAGTGCACCTGTGTCATGCATTGCCTGCAGAGGACAGAAGAGGCCGTCAGATCCCCTGGAACTGGAATTATGAACAGTTGTTAGCTGCCATGTGGGTGCTGGGATTCAAACCTGGGTCTTCTACGAGAACAACCAGTGTTCTTTTTGTTGTTGTTGTTGTTGTTCTTAAATGGCATTACTTTATTTTTTATTTTTATTTTTTTAATTTTTAATAACTACATGATTTCACTACAGATTTAACATATTCAGTAACACACTCCAGAGCAAGAGTACATCTCCTTCACAAGTGGGTGAAGTTTCTAGGTTCACAGTTGAGGTAATAGTTATACAATATTGAACTCAGTATAAGCCCTGTAAGACATAAAATTGAATGAGTTTTTAACCTTTAAAAAAGATCTCCATT